TTCACATAGCTTATGAATGAACCGTTTTTATCTGGATGCGCGATCTCACTTTTCGCAGACGCTCGTTATTATCTTAAACAAAAATGTTCAAAACTCGGCTCGGCAAGATTTGTATTTGTTGAAATTTTAGCCTCGAACAAAAATTAATCTATAGTTTACTTAGTACTAAGATACTAAGATATCGGTTTACATTTTCGCCGGTTCCGTCAGCGGGCAACAACGGTGATGTAAACTGTATATAGTAGATACCGCGATACATCATCACCGGTACCATTAGATATACATCGTACCCTGACTGTTTGGGGGTCCCAGCGTCACGTATACAATGTGAAACGCGACAAATAAAACGTCTCTGATTGGTGGACAAGACGAACCCAAAAAGGGTATAAAAGAAGCGTTTTTTCTTACCGGACTCTCAGTAGAGTTTGGTCGCTCGATCGTTTTCGCCCATATACCTTCTCTCAATAAAGGAATAAAATAAAGTCCTTTTTAAGAAAAGAATTAGAATCATATTCATTTTCATTCCATAATCCCAACAGTATTATATTACGTTAACGCCAACCGAGAAATAAAGATTCGAATCGAACGCGAACGGGGCCGAGATTAAGTGCCCCGATCGAACAAGAAATTTGAATCTATCATCGAATTCCGTTTAGCCGTTCGAGACGTTGTTACCGCTACTTAACTACCCTAGTTAATTGCACCGTGTCTGCGCAGAAAGCCGACCATCGAATCCGTCCATGGTTAAATTTAAACTCTGCGATCCGGAAAGCGTCTGTTCTTACGTTTTGCCTTCCGCGGAGGCCACCTTCGAATCCCGAGGTCAATGTTTACACATTCTGATTCCTCTCGCGAGACGCTTAATATTCCGAAGGTACTTCCTGATACGTAAAACAGCGATGTTAACTTCCTTCCTTTTGTTTTACGAATTTTTTTTATATATTTATTAACCGGTAGTAGTACTCCGCGCAAGAAAAACCTGCGGCAGACAGAAGGACTTGTACTTGTGGAAGGAAATTGTACCGAAAGAGTTGACTTTCTGTTCCAGACGGCGNTATATATATATATATATATATATATATATATATTATTATATTATCATATAATATATAATATTAATATTATATAATAATATTTAATAATAATAATATAATTTATTTTTTTTTATAATTTAATAATATATTTATTATGTATATAATAATATATAATACTATATATATTATATATATTATAATATTATATTATATATATAATAACACATAATATTATTGATAGTTAATAACACACACACAGTAACGGTGTGTCGGACAGTAACGTCGGCGGAACAGTTGTGGTGCAGTTTCGTCGAGATGGTCGGTCGGCTCGCGCGGAAAAGCTTCATGAATATTGAAACGAAACGAAGAACTATAATCGAGGATAGAGTTTCCACGAACGGGGCGCGCACATCACTTTCGGTTCTCGAAAAGTCCCTGATCGGCTTACTACACAGACGCCGCGGCGCGGCGCGGCGCGTGCGAGTGGAACCGGTTTCGTAAAGATTGCGTGGCCACACGAGAGTTCGTCCGTGTTTATTTCGTTTGCCGGTGTACACGATCCTCCGGAGAGCCTTCGTCACTTCTCCTTCAAGCGGATTAGGGATTGAATAAGGAAACATGTCCCCCCGAAACGTGGCAGCACAGGCCCGTAAACACGACGGTAAATAGAATTTTCCCGGTGAAAATGTCATAATCGGACCCCGTGGGGAGAGATCTCGGTTCCCATTCTTTCTTCCTTTTTCTGTGCAGGTTAGGGGAAACTGGAAGAACGCACCGGCTCGACGAATGAAAACGGAAACACGAAGTTACGGTGAAGTTTCGACGAATTCGTTTCATACGACTTTCACATAGCTTATGAATGAACCGTTTTTATCTGGATGCGCGATCTCACTTTTCGCAGACGCTCGTTATTATCTTAAACAAAAATGTTCAAAACTCGGCTCGGCAAGATTTGTATTTGTTGAAATTTTAGCCTCGAACAAAAATTAATCTATAGTTTACTTAGTACTAAGATACTAAGATATCGGTTTACATTTTCGCCGGTTCCGTCAGCGGGCAACAACGGTGATGTAAACTGTATATAGTAGATACCGCGATACATCATCACCGGTACCATTAGATATACATCGTACCCTGACTGTTTGGGGGTCCCAGCGTCACGTATACAATGTGAAACGCGACAAATAAAACGTCTCTGATTGGTGGACAAGACGAACCCAAAAAGGGTATAAAAGAAGCGTTTTTTCTTACCGGACTCTCAGTAGAGTTTGGTCGCTCGATCGTTTTCGCCCATATACCTTCTCTCAATAAAGGAATAAAATAAAGTCCTTTTTAAGAAAAGAATTAGAATCATATTCATTTTCATTCCATAATCCCAACAGTATTATATTACGTTAACGCCAACCGAGAAATAAAGATTCGAATCGAACGCGAACGGGGCCGAGATTAAGTGCCCCGATCGAACAAGAAATTTGAATCTATCATCGAATTCCGTTTAGCCGTTCGAGACGTTGTTACCGCTACTTAACTACCCTAGTTAATTGCACCGTGTCTGCGCAGAAAGCCGACCATCGAATCCGTCCATGGTTAAATTTAAACTCTGCGATCCGGAAAGCGTCTGTTCTTACGTTTTGCCTTCCGCGGAGGCCACCTTCGAATCCCGAGGTCAATGTTTACACATTCTGATTCCTCTCGCGAGACGCTTAATATTCCGAAGGTACTTCCTGATACGTAAAACAGCGATGTTAACTTCCTTCCTTTTGTTTTACGAATTTTTTTTATATATTTATTAACCGGTAGTAGTACTCCGCGCAAGAAAAACCTGCGGCAGACAGAAGGACTTGTACTTGTGGAAGGAAATTGTACCGAAAGAGTTGACTTTCTGTTCCAGACGGCGTGTTGCCCGAGCGGCGTCGTCGTCGAGCCCCAGCCCAGGGAAATTTAGGATTTTACTTCGTGAAAGAAAAATCGCGCACTAGCGTGGTGGACTAACGGTAAATTCCACTCGATTCGTTAGCTGCATTCTCGAGCGAGGTGGGATTTTTAAAAAGTCGGACAGCAAAGGAAAAGCACGCGATAAGTCGCACACCTAGCGGGGAGCGGAGAAAGCAACGACGAGAGATGCTCCCATGCAAAAACGACTGCTACTATCACGGCCGCGGATCTGTTGCTAGACTAGAATTAGATCCAGAATGGTGCTTTAGAAGTGCCTGACAGTGTCTGTAATCTCATGCCTGCCGGGAATCTAACCAGAACATAGTTATTTGTACGATTGTAATACAGTGCAGTTAAAAAAATCAAGGATCTGTGGGCCGCGCAGTTGATTCGTCAGCGCTCTTTTTTGTAAATAACAGAAAAAATGTATACACGCTCTTTTATTCCTTAATTTCGCAACGTCGAGCGGTTACCTCGTATCCCCCCCCCCCGATTCGTCTTGGAGCAGGAAGGAAAAAGCCGCATTCGAAACTCAGGCACAACGACGACCTTGAAAGGGGTCACGCGAGTAATTTCGTGGTCATAGAGATTGCATCATGGATAATTCTTTCGGTACCGTATCATCAGTTCCTTCCTTAGATTATCAACAATTATGTTTAATCGTTGCGTGCATGGTTACTGTTAAAAAGAAAAACAAGAGAATAAAAGAGGCAATCACGGTTTTGTCCTTAATGCGACGGTAATCTCTATTCCAGGAACACAAAACATCCGACAAAGAGGATTGTTACCAGCGACGAAACATGGACTGAGGTGTACGGAGAAAGAGGAGGAGGGCAGGAGAAAAGAGATTCAATTGCCTCTTGGTTCATATGAGCGCGCGCGCACACACACACCGCGCGCGGGCGCGCAACATATCTCTATTGAAACGCCCGGACAAAAGCCGATGAGAATGTGCGGGTGTCTGACTTTGAACAATTGGTAATTAGTTGATATGAAAGTTCAGGAAATGGTGGCGAACGTTTTACGCTTTTTCTTTCTCTCGTTTTTTTCTTGTTGCGTCAACGTTCCATCGTGGATCGTACGAAAAACTGCTCTACGACTTCTTGGACGCTGCTACTAACCGGACAGAAATTTCCCTCCATTGATCAACGCACAAAGTTATCTTAAAATAAAAACCCGGAGAAAGTACCGCGTTCTGTTTAGTCGCAAAGTCCGGTTCCAGGTCTGAACTCTGTTAGCAATGCTACCGCAGATATCTATTCGATTTATCAATATATTTCAATTCGCAGCGGAATAAAATTTCTATGCGAAATAAAAATATTCTGCTTTCGGCATCGAGAAACCAGTATTACATAGAAAATGATTTCCTAATAACTTCAATGATCCGAGACAAGCGCATACATGTGTAACCACCGGTATTCGCCATGCATAAGTAAACAAAGTGAATACAGATGCGTCTCAATATATAAAGTTCTAAATTCGGAGTCCTTATCTGAAAGTTTTTGTAGTCCTTATCTCTACCTGGCTACCAGAGATGAAGAAAGTTAAAACATAAGCAGCGAGGTGTCGACGCGCCTTAAAATAGTCGACTGGAGTTGCAGTATTGCATAAACATGTCATTCGCGCAAAATCATCGAGACCTCGTTTAGAAGCAGCCATTATACAGCTGGATAAGTTAATTCGAGCGAAAGCAAACCTTAATCTCATTAATACGTATAATTATTATCTACGTTGACCCGCGTACGCTGCTCGAGAACAATTGTGCAAAAGAGGAGGGTGATTTTCACCCGTTTCCGTTTCACAGTTGAATTCGGCCAGAATTACGGCGAAATTCTACCGCGTCTGAAACAAAGTGAATTTGTTGCCAGAGGAACGTACGATTAGCTACGTATTTTTTAATAACTGCTCGACTATAGCGCCCACGACTGTACGGGGAGTCGAGCAGAGTAATACGAAGGTTAGACGTATTATATGCTAATTTTCTTGGGCCCCTAGCGACGCAAGTGACGTTAAGGGGATCTATCAACTTACCCAACCTGATGGCGGCCACCTGTGCGACACCGAGAAGGACTAGGAGGAGCGGAAGTCCTTCGAAGACCGGGCACAGAGTTCTTATTCCGTGGGTATTCCCGGAAACGCGTTTACCGTCAAGGAGGAGCGTGCGTGGCCGGCGTGGCCCCGCAGCCACTGCCATCGCACCGTCCTTCTCCTCACCGTGCACCGTTCAACACTTCAATTGTCGTCTCCACTGTGTTTTCGCAACACTATGATGACAATAAAATCTCCCGGACAGTGTACACTTCGACCGCGTGCGGGTGAAGCGCGTTTCCCTTCGGAACGGGTACACCAGAACGACTACTAAAGCCGAGAGGGCGGGAAGGGGGGGGGGCGGGCGGGCGCGACGCGGCTTTCGGCAAGGCGACCGGTTTCGCGAAAATAGAGAACGATCTTCCCCGTTCTTTCTTTGGTGGGTTGAGTTTTCCTGGAGGCACGCGCGGTCGCGAATCGCGCGCGTGTACTTTCTTCCAGGGGCGTGGTACAGAGGGAGAAATAAAAGCGAGCTGTAGTGTGAGAAAAATTAAAAAAAAAAGGACGCGAGAGGCACGAGCGGTTCCTTTTAGGCTGATTCAGTTCATGGCTCGCGCGGACTATATTCACGCGGCCGCGGTCAGCGAACGACTGGTTGGTTGGCGCGCGCGCGCGCCGGCTGGAAGGGCTTCTCGGTACCGTCGCCCGACGCGCATGCGCGGGGAAGGGGTTCTAAGGACCACGTGTGGTAGAATCTTGCGCCGTGACTGTGTCTGGCGACTGGAATACCTGCGAAAGTTGTGACACGAATGTTAAATATGACGTAAAATTCAATCACTGGGATTAATTGATCGACATATTACGAAAATAATTGTCTATACCGACGCGCATTCGTCCAAAATCGTCGGATAAAATCACATTTTCCACTTCATCCGAGAAATCAGCGAAGGTGTACGCTCCGAAATGTTCCAACTTTTGGTAAAGGATGAGTTAATAAGTTAATCAGGATTTATTGATGGTGCTTCGAATACAATAAAAGATGCATACCTTAAGATCGCACATTTGTGTCTAAAATTATCCGGCTTTGCAAGATTATATATTTTCATAGAGAAAAATATAGTCGAAACCGATTGCACAGTGTTAAAGAGCATCGTTGCTTTTGGGTTTTAGCAACATTTTCAAAGCGGAAGCCACTGGGCGGTGACAATGAATTTTGCATAAGAATATCTGTTGAATCATAGTTAAGAATATATAAACATTTTTTGGCAATACTTGCTTGTTACATAGTTATTAGACGAAATGTATGGCTAGCGACTTCACGTTTTTTAAAATCCTTCGGCGAATCATATATTAACATATTTTCAATTACTATTACTTTATGATTACAGTACATCTGTACTTTTAATTAAACAGGATATTACTAAGCGATATAATTATATGAAATAATAATGATATTTAGAATAATGAAATAATTAATTATACTTCTCAAATAGACATGCTACGCAAATTTGATTCCCAAAATTAAACCATTTCACTGGCAAATGTAGTATAGTGCACAAATAATGTCACGATTTTTCTCCGCGTTTTGATGATTTTTAACCATTGTACAATAATCTGCTATCGTTTTGCTCAAAATTGTATTTGCATTAAGAACGCTGTTCCTCAAGCATCATCTGTCTAATAACTGTGCGCTTTATTATACAACAATACCGTTTTAAAACGAATAACGTATTTGATCATGTCTCTAATGGATTATTTATACGTATATTGTCTTATCGTATTTTACATTTGCACCTATACATAGTTCATTTACAAGGGAAAACTGTTTTAGGCGCAGCCCCGCCTACCTGTTCCTGGAAATATTCGCTTTGGGACAAACGTAAACATGAGCTTACCTGGGCCGAGGAACCACCGTCCCTTCCAGGATTTCGTCGCTTTTTCTGCGATCTCAACCAACTGGAAGCATTCCTTCACCTACATCTGTCCTCCGGATTCCACGGAGCCGTTCATATACAAACTAACCGATTCCACCTGCGTTCCATTTAAGAACCTGCCGTATTTTTGTCACTCGTTTTACCCTCGATCGCGTCCAGGACAAATCACTTTGAACGTCGCTTAGAAGATATTGGGTCGTTGCATTTCGAGGTATTCGACGACCGAAAACAATTAGCGACACGTATTCGACGACACGCAACATGCTAACAATTGCTAGTGTACAATCCAATGCGAAAAGTATTTTAAACAGAAAGTTACATTACGTGGAGTAAAATGTTTATTCATATGGTCTCATAGAGTCGATTCATATAAATCTAGTTTTGCGAATCTTAATTATACCTCTGCAGCAATTGTTTCACCTTTATATTATATTTTACTATATATGATATTATACGTGTACGAGAGGAACACGAGTTGGAATTCGCAGAACTAGGAAGCAGTTGTTCGTTACTTAAAATCACGAATGTTTCGAAATCGCTGATAATCTAAAAAAAATGTAAATCGCGTGAATACATTGCCGCCTCTGATTTACATATCTAGCGTGCCAATTTTTCGTGGGACTGTATTGCACGAAAGGGAAGACCGTAATTTGTCTTGGCATGCAGGACACTGTTCATGAATGAAGTTGTACTGTGAACTCGTGCCGTCCGTGCCCGGCGGTGCCGCTTGAGAGAACGACACCGAGCCCGACTCCTGCGTTTTCTCGCAAACGCGTTTATTAGTTGTGGCAAATGCCACAGCCCGTGATCGACCTTTCCTATTGTCCGGAGATGTGCCTCAGCGTGCCGCGTTCCCGCACTTCCTTTTCGTCTAGGATCGCTCATTACCAGTCCCACAATTCCTGTCGTTTCGCGTCTGTTATTTTCAATTTCCATTAGAGTAGACCAATCGAATCGGTCGTAAAGGAAAACGAATTGTTGCAAATATTTTCTCACAACCTCCCGTAGATATCTCTTATAGATATTTCGTTCACGTTTCTGCAAGAAACAAACATCTCCACGAAATACATATTGATATTACCTAAAATTAATTGTCGGCGTTAGTACGGAGAGCCAACTCGTCGCACTGACGCATGAAAAATAATTTACAACGACGAAATCGCGCGGGTCTGTCAGAAACGGTGAAAACGATCAAATCGTCCTGGTTTAAATGCATCAGGCCATTACGAATGAATCACGGTTTTTTTAAGGCCTCTTTGTATCATGCACGGCGTCTTACCCCAATTGCTGGTACATCCTGTTTAGACAATTGAGGAAGATGCCACTTGCAACCGTGAAATTAGTCCACCGATCGCGCTTCAGCTCGTCGAGATTGTCCGTAAAATTTTTCCCTGGAATTGCTTGAAATTATATGGAAAGATTGAAAAAAAGATCTATTTTTAAAGCGAACAGTGAGACTTATTATGGTTGCTGCGGGAGGAAAATAGAAAACAGCAGGAGTACAGCGCGCACAACGTGGCAGAATCGAGCGGAGCGCCGTTTTAATTGTGTTCGCGGATCATTTGAATTCTCTGCGAGCGACGGACAATTTCGAAAAATATATTCCGGTCGGGAACAAAGCATCTACGACGTCTCCGGTGCGACGTGTGTGTTCTTTCACCTGTTATTTCACTGTTCATTGGCTGCGCACCTTACCCGGTGCAAAACTGAGCCGCACAATAAAGGTCTCTCCCTGTCTCTCTTTCTCCTTCCATCTCTGCGTCTCACCGAGAGGCTAGCGCGCCCTCTCTCGCGTGTATACGTGTCGTGACCTTGTGGCATTTGGTACCTGGCTGTACCAGTCGGCGCATGACTCCGCCTGACGTATAGTGATAGGCACGATTCGAGTGCCTGAATCGCGCGATCCACCTATTTCCTTCTATGTATCAACTGGCCCCCACCTGTATCGATCCATTATTTGATCACACTGGCCGACGAATTGCAATATCTTCTGTTATTAGAGATTTTTACAAATTTCTATGCACTGCGCAGTAATCCGTTAAACGTTCTCTAGCAGTACGTAGCCATAGTTCTGCAAACATTATATCTTGAGAGAAAAATCAGGTTTTTAAGTTTACGTCACGTTTTATCTGCGAACACTATGTAAACGTTTCTTGTAGGAATTAATTGTATATATTTTTAGTATATAATTCTATTTGTTTTAGAAATTAATAGATCGCGAGGAAATTTCAAATACGTCACCTAATAAAGCAGACTTTAATTAAACAGCAACGCTAAAGAAAAGCTAGGACGTAGATTCTGTGCACAATCGAGAAAATTAAATAATTACGCATGACGCATGTGCTTAGGGTAACATCAATCATTGAGATTGAGAATCACTGGTGGTAGCTAGTGTCATGCGTAACTATTTAATTTTCTCAAATAAAAACAAAATCTATGTTACTGTTTTCTTTTTTCTTTGATGGTATATCCTGAATTAAAACATACTCTATCATGTAATGTAACTCAATTTTATCTCACACCTTTATTTTGGAAAATAAACTAAAAATCACCTAAGTTCCTCTGACTTGAAACATTTTCAACGTACATATCGATATAAAGGGAAGAGTGATTCCAAATGGCTAACATAATGTTTATTTAGAAATTCGGAATAAGTAAAGAAGAGCTAAAATAATTTTTAAGAAGTTGTTTTCTAGAATTTGTTAGATCGCTTGTCTCTGTAATTTTAAATAAACAAGATTTTTAAGTATGATACATGAGCAATCAATTGGTTTATCAATTGAGACGATTATTAAAAGAATATCACAATTTCTTGCAAGTAGATAGTTTATTTTGTTGTAACAATTGAAACTTCAAAAGATTGTGAAGCAGAATCTACAACAAAATTCTCGCAATATCAATAATACAACATTTCAAAATAACTTATAAATAATAACGTACATTACAATACATTAAATGTAATATCCTTCTGAAATCTCTCAGATTTCTAGACACAACGATACATTAAAGAACAAACGAAATTAAAGTAATAATTATTCTCTTAAAGAAAAAATATATATATAATTTCTAGGTTTCTGTTTTTATAATCGTCTCAATTTCCTTTAAATCCTTAACTTAAGACACGGCCCTCGTCTTAAAAAATATTTATGCAAACTTTGGAATGATCAGACTATGACAAGGACACTCAGTCTACCAAAAGAATTAACGATTAACAAATGTCGAATATATCAGCATCTTCTATTAAGTTTCTCACCAAACGTTGTATACTTGAACAATTTATATTTATCTACAATTTTTTCTTATCGTTATTTCATTAAGTCACTTCGAACGCCGACAATATCCAAGACAATTCCTTTCCACGATAATGTTAGTATTAAGTCTAGACTCGAACGTAGAATTCATTCAATATCACTACTTGCACCCGTGGCGCGGCCAGAGAGTGCAAAACCACACATTATTGGGAATATACGTGGGAAACGGGATTAACTACTATTAATTATATATAGAAGAAGCATACATTGTATTCACCGAAGGCTAACATTTGCGGTTCTCATTGAACTCTTTTCATTCACAAGTACTCTAGTTCGTCGTGAAATTAAGAAAAAAATGTCTATTTCTTCCAATCGTGACATGCTATATGAAGTGATATGGAAATATATTTTACTGATATGAGTTACTCGTTCCATACATAGATCCAATTTCACATTACATAGAAATGAGGATGCCAATAAAATATGCGGTAATAGTCATAATGCTGGACATTTGCGAGCAGGTGTACATAGGGACACAGTAGAACACAACATTCTAGAAAATATCGTCGCATCAAAAGTACATATCCCTTCTCCATGAATTATAAGAGTAGTAAATCGTAACGTTGGTTTCTTTGTATACATATATGTACATATTTATGTGTCATCACATGCCTCCATCCCAAGTTTCTGGCTGCGCCACTGACTTGCACACCTCTACACCTTGTCCACAGAACAGAGTCAATGCGCATAAAAAGCTAACGATAAGTACATGATGCTTATTGACTCTATGATGCGTCTAAAAAACATGACCCGAAAATATAAACTCACGTTGTCACGCTAAACTATAAATTGGTCCACGTCTTATTTAAGTGTTAATAGCCTATAGATTGGTACAAGTACAAAATTAACGAAACAAGGTGAAAGGTGCTACGTACAACTTTAAACAAATAGAACAAGTACATTAGGTGCTCAATAAGTAGCTGTGTTTGATACTTACCTGTTTGTTTCTTACTGTGGTATACAAAAATGTTGTATGGTATTTTCAACATAGTTATGCAAAATTACAATCGAATTATTTTATAATTATATCCTCTCACTATACAATTAAGTTTTTGCTTCATGTACTCGGAACTGTTTGAATAAAATAATCAGCTACTTGTCGAGCGCCTATTATACATAAAACCTACATATCACATGTTCTAAGTGATGTTTACATTACAAATAGTTCGAGGATTAAAATCATACATACTCAACAAACTCAACATCCGATGCTCTGCAGTCTTGACTCCATTTCGTGAACAAAGTAAATATTTCCTATTTTACACATCTTATCGTGCAAAAAGGGGCAGAAGATCTGTACCACAGAGTATACTACCTCTTACTTTTTCTTTTCTGGAAATACAGTATTTTCCCTATAACGTCGCGTGACTGGGCGGAGACAGTGTTTCGGAGCAGAATAAGTTATTTTAAAGTCATCTTGATTAACTGCAGACTAGCTACGAGATGGTAGAGATAGAAACACGATGTTGAAGGAGCAATCGGAACGCGATGCTGCAGAGGAAATACTGTTGACAAGTTGTACTTTGTAGATAAAATTCATACCGCATTCCTATTGGTAGATATTCATAGAAAGGGAGTCACCTCTCATTTAATATGTTGGTGGGATCATCATTCTGAATAGTGTTGTGAAGATTTTAGTTGGTAATAGCAGTTTGTTAAGAAATTAGATCGTAAATTGTAAATTAATCAGAAATAGGTTTAGCATGTAGGCTGTGTTGAATAGCCTATAAGAAAGATCTCAGGTATCACACTTGTTTTGTGAAACTTGTAGTGACTTTTTAGTAAACTGCAACCTCCGACTGTAACGTCCTTTGCAACACTATTTAAAATGGTAACATATTAAGTTAAATTATGGAAATTGGAGGTGGTTCTCTCTCTATGGATGTCTACCTTCCTGTTTCAAGAGTAAAGAGTACAGAATACCTTAGCAGTCGGTGTCTCAAGGGGGAACAAGCTGGGATCGGAGGTCGGTCCAAGCACGGATTTGAAAGGTTAACGGAACGTCGTTTCTTTTTCCTCGTTTCTACGCCACACATCGATGCGTCCACAGGGTAGAGAGATATATCGGATGTCTTGACCTTTCAAACTCGCGCTCAGACCGACGTTACTCAGCCGGGCATCTTGCGACTCATAACACCAAGCTCACAGGTGATTTGCTTATGGTCGCGATCGAGCAATAGAGTTCTGGCATTCAGAAACGAAAGGTCCGGGAGTCGGTTTAGTACACGCGCTGTTTCCTGTTGTATCGGCATAACACGTCCAAACCTATCCATCACCACATGTTCAGATCCCGACGACCTCTTGTTCACAGACTTCCCACGATAAGTATCCCCTGAATTTGTTTTCTCCGGCAAATACTGTTTCTCTACAGACGAGTATTGCTTTTCTGACGACATATATTGCTGTCTATCAGTTGCTACATGCTTCTCGTTCGTTGAGAACTGCTTCTCCATTGGGACATTCCGTTGCGAACTGGTGATTTTTGATTTGTGCCCGGGATCAAGGTCAGACTTCCTTTTCCAGTCTGCTGGACGGGGAGCTGGTAATGGTTCTATCATCTTCGAAGGTTGCAAACGTTTCTGAGATTTCAAAACGTCGTTCTCCAGGGAGTCGATCGTCTCTGTCTTTGAGACTGAATTGCATCGTTCTCGATTAACACTCACTTCTGAGATATCTGTTGCATCATAAAAAAGCATGTTACTGAATTGATTACTGTAAATATCGATGGGAACACGTAAGCGACATACAAAGAACTGACTAATCTCGTTGTTTCTAACTACAGTGTACGAGTTACAGAATACCAAGCCCAACACTTACGATGATTAACAGGATTCCTTGCGCTACTTGGCCGACGATAGGATTCAGAGTTGGTGGAACTGTGGGATGTTAGTAGAGGATCAAAAGGGCACAGAAAGTCCAAAGGTAGTAGAGCAGATAACCCACCACCTAGATTATATGATTCATCAAAATTGTTTACCCAGTGCGGAAGCAAGTAATTAATAACAGTTTTTGTGAAAGTGATATGATCGTATGGAAGCAGTGAATATTTCTAATTCACGAATATACTGGCAAAGAAACAAATCAAATATATCCGTTAAGTAGTTTATGACAATCTAATCTCTATTCAAATGAATATTTAAAGCAATAGTGAAATAAAACGGCAATAGCATATATCATGTTTGATACTTACTAGCTTCTAAGGGATTAACAAGCCCGGAACTATTCCAGTCAAATTGAGCGGCAGGTACTTCCTAATGGGATTTCAGTATTAATAATTATGATATTGTTTCATCTTAAAATTACACTGTCCAACATCAGTTGCGCGCGCAATTTGTTGAACAGTATTACTAAGTGCTGTAAATACTTCACAAAATTTTTCTAACATAAAACAGTGAAACTACAACGTCAACCGTGAATTTAACACTTACTTCCGAGTTAGTTGAACTTTGAGATTTGCTTATATTTGTTGTAACAGTAGGTTGAATATCCACTGTGGCTTTAATTGGCTCTAAAGGGGTGAAGCCAAGATTTGCAGCGAACCTCGGTACATTTGGATTCCATCTTGGACCAAATAACTGCAAGAATCACATTGTGACTTACAAATATTAATTCATTTCTTCAATTACTTACAATATTACGAGAATCAATGCCGAGGGAATTCAAGAGTACATTGTTACTAGCACTATTTGCCCACTGATACGTCAAAGCGTTCGTTTCCTCAACGCTTTTAATACTGTGCCAGACTCTATCTGCTTGACCTATCAGCGTTTGTATTTGAATTTCGCATTGTTCCGTATCTGTCGGAAACATCGTTGTTATTATGTCCTCTATTTTGTTAGCCGCCTGTGGAACATATTTATAATTAATTTCTGATATTGTAATGTAGAGAAATGAACACGCAAAAGCTCACATTTTTATTTTCAATACGAGAAATCGATTCCTTCAGACTAAATTGCGGTTGCTCCACCTCAGGTTGTTGGAATGCTGATTCAAAATCATTGAAGTCTCCGAAATCGTCGTCTTCATTTTTATCAGGTACTTTTACTTCATCAACCTTTTCAAATCGAGTTTGATCAGTAAAGTTCGTGAAATCGCCGAAGTCGTCGTCTTCAGCTTCCAAATCATTCCTTTTTTCATTCACTTCTGTTGTGTCGGGAAAGTCATGAACCTCAGGTTGGAAAGTCCTAGTAGAAGTCTCTAGTGTGGCATCACATTTGAAATCATCGAATTCTTCATTCGAACACCTGGAAATAACTGGCAGTGGTTCAGAAGATAGAAAGCCGTTTTCAGAACTCGTTCGTTTAGCCTCAGAGAACTCGTAAAATTCTTCAGCAATATCCTCCTTGTCAGCTTGACTTCTATTTGAAAACTCGTCTTTTGATTCACTCATACTCGGAGGATTTCCTTCAATAGAATCATGAAACGGCGACTCTTCTATATTTTCAGCTTTTGAGACTCCTTCAAAATCATCTCTCTCATCTGGCACATTTGAGATTGCTGTGCATTGAGCTTCTACAGTCGGTTGCTCAACCGATTTCTCAAATTCTACATTTACATCTTTTTTATCAACTATACTGAAGTCTTTTTTGAAACTTTTTAAATTATTTGAAATATCTTCAGCTTCTTGGAATTCGAAGTAGTTTGTTTTTGAAATGTCTGTAGGCACGTCATTGTTTGAAATCCAGTTCTGAGAATCTTCAAACTGCTCATACTCGTAGAAATCATCATCTAACGGTTGAATTATGTCGGCAGCAGCAGTTGGATCTCCCAAATCTAGACTCAAAGGTTCTAAATCCTCTAAATTATTAGGGGAAGCTTCTTGTTCACTCTCCCCAAAACTACTGCTTTCGCTGACTAAGCCAACTTCATTGAAAACTCTTTTTCCTATATTGTCTATGATATCATTGTTATTTACATTCTTCGAGTTTCTTTTACAATTATTCACCTCATTAATAGTTTCAATCTCTGTTTTTAATTTAATTTCATTCACAGTGTTCTCAGTTTTTTCAAGTATTAAGAGATCTTCCGTAATTGCTGATTTCAAAACTACAACTGACTGAGAATCTTCTTCGCTTGTTTCAGAAATACCATTTAATTTTGGTGAAGCATTTTGGGATGGTAAAGGTGTTTGAACAGGTGTCGCAAGCTTATGTGGTGAATCTGAAGACACAGAGAGTCCTGCAATAGATATGTTATTATTAAAATGAAATTATGATTAAAGTTTGTAATTATGAAAGGAAAGAAAAAGGAAGAGATTACTGTGTTATAATACTTCAATAGCTTAATTACCATCTATTCCACCAGTTGTAAAGTCTCCAAATTCATCCTCTTCTGAGTCTCCGAAATTATCTAACGGAGGAGGTGTCGAACTGACCAGTGGTGGAAATGCCATCCTGCTGTCTACTCTAAAGAAAGCACAGAATATTTTCATTAGAACATATTTTTTAACTCAGTGAACCTGTTAGAAACAAAAACAGCATTATAAATATAATTTAGATGAAATATTACAACGACAAAGCCAGAAGCAATTTCTCATGCTGATCCTAATTTCTAAAGAAACAGAAATAATTTCTCAAAAAGTTAAAGATTCCACCGTCTACCGCGATGAAACGCATATGTCAAAGTCAACTAGGTTATGTATATGTCAATAATGACGGAACGAAACACTTGGCAAAGTAATTCGAAAATACGTCAATAACATTGACATGTTCGTTAAAAATGATTTTATTGTACTGTTCAGAAGAAAAATAAGGTGGTTACGCAAAGAAAGTAAGGTGAACTTGAACGTAGTGTCATCACTAACTTACAAAAGAACACGTAGGTACGTGATGCACCTTTCGATAATTGCTTTATCTGTCGTTCGTCATTGTATCGACTTCATTCCAGTCGGTCTTCATCGGCATATGCAATCTTTTATCAATGAGGATTGCAACTTGTTAGAACCGTAAGGTTCGGTAGTGCGAATCACGAGACCATCGGTTGTATCACCTGTTCTGTACGTGTTGCTTCTGCGCACCTGTGCTCACCTGCCGTTGCGCGTTTTTTCAAATTCGACTAAAACATAAAACTGCGACATATCGCACAGAGTTCGGTATTGACCAATTAATATTTATAATGATTTATTCAATTGATAAATTTAGACGTCAATTATTAATTATAAATCTTAATCGTTGATCAATCTCTAATTAAAAATATTACTACTTTTTTATTATATATATATGTACCAAATTCGAAGGAACATATCAATGTTTATTTATATACAGTTTATTAATTTCAGTACAACAGCGGTAAGAGGATTTCTTACTGTACGATGCATTTATCAAAAATTGCTATCTTCAGAAAAGTGTATTAGATTAAACAATTCAACGGAATTATATTCAAATCTTCATTATTTGAATCGAATATTCAAATATTAAATTGTTTAAATTTATTTGTAGATACTTCTTACCACAGCAAAGTATTATTCATGAAAATCCGTTTTTTCAAAGATAGCACTGCTTTATTTCAGTTTACTTTATGTCTTGCTTAGCGGTATGCTGCGTACGTCTATGTTTTCTCATATCTCCTTTTTGTCGGAAACATCTACCGCAAACGTCACACGCGTGCGGTTTCTCACCAGTATGAATCTTTATGTGATTATTTAAAGCTTCTGTTCTAGTAAATGCTTTCTCGCAATAGTGACACTTATATCTACGGTCTCCCCTATGTATTAATCTATGTTGATAGAAAACGGAACCTGTTAAGAAAGCTTTGTTGCAGACATCACATTTAAATGGTCTTTCTCTGGTATGCTTTTTTCTCGTGTGATCTGCTAGATCAGGCTTGATAGTAAATCTTTGATCACAATATTCGCATGCGTATGGTTTGACACCCATGTGGAATCTTTTGTGAGTCCACATGTGACTCGACTGTGTGTAACTTTTCCCACATATGTTGCATACATACCTAAAAATCAAAATTTGCTTTTTTCCTATCGATTTTAATAATAAATACAGAACGGAGGTTTGTACATACGGCCTGAGTCCACTATGTCTTCTTTTATGCGCATTCAATGAATTCGCAGTTGGTAGAAGACTACCACATATGTCACAAGGAAATTTAGAACACCTGTACTTCCCATGCTCTTGAAATTCTTCGGCGCTTACGAAAACACTTCCACAGAGCTCGCAAATAAACTTCTCTTCACTTTTTTCAGACTTTCTAGCCACTGGCTGATGTCTCTTTTGTTTGTGTTTGTAGAGCAAAGATAATTCTTTGACATCCCTGTCGCAGACATCGCATAAAAATACTACCAAGACTTTAAATATTCTCGGGTGTTCCTTCCAATGAAGTACAGCCTCTGCGAAGGATTTAAACCACGAGTTACACTCGTTGCATGAATATGGTTTTTCAACAATGTGTAAATCACGATGATGTTTCAAATGATCCATATCTGCAAAGTGGCTATCGCAGAATTCACAATGATAAAGCTTCACCACCTGCAACTCTTCAATGAGATTAACTTTCTCTTCATGCCTCTTACAATGCCCATCCGCGGTCTCGCATGCCCCAAACACTTCGCCACAATGAACACACCTTTACACAAAAAATATTATTTAGGAACAATTATTTGTATGTAACGAAACAATTAAGGCTTACCTCCAAATTGTTTGACTGTTTTCTAAAACGATACTATGACCAGCTATGTGCTTATTCAATCTTGACTTTTGTGTGAAACTTTTTGAGCATTCAGAGCATTTATATGGTTTTTCTGGAAGATGGGTTACCACATGACGTTTTAAGGTATACCTGAAATGGGGAAACCATAAAAAGAAATGTAAATTTAAAATGCAAATTTAGTTTTCAATTGACAAAGTAAAATAATCACCCATCACAGAATCCTTTTGAGCAGACTTGGCACACATGGGGTCTTGTTTTACCATCCACACAAACATGTTTCTTTAATCCTTCTTGATTTTCAAATAATTTTCCACACTGCAAGCAGGATACTTTACCATCTTTGCAATGATATCTACAATAAAATTAATATAAAAAGTGAAAAATAGTATACTTTGGATGAAATATCTTTGTACCTCTTGTAATGATAAAATAATTTTAGCTCCTTCCCAAAAGTAATTTTGCAAATTTCACAATATAATGCTTTTGCATCTTCATGAAAATGTTTATGGAATTGCAAACGCTCTTCAAAGGTAAATGTTGTGAAGCAAATGTCACACTTATATGGCTTGGATGTGCATTGCAAATTGGGTTTACATTTATGTTCATCTAGAGTTTCTTTTGTATGATACAGATTCATACAAGCTCCACATTTTAAATATTTTTGCTTGGTCCCCAAACAAAACAGTGTGATGGCTCCATTTTCATCTTCTTCATCAGCTCTAAATTCACTTGGTATATGTTCTTCATCACTACTTTCAAGAACAATATCACTGTCATACAAGTCAATATCCTTTTGATTTCTTTTGGCTTCTTCAAAGATCTTCATTCGTCCTTCAACGCATAATGGACACGAATCAATGTTCTTTAAAGAATGTCCATCATTTTTAGATGTTATAAAACAGTTTTTCTGTTTGAGAATTTCTACAAGAGTTTCTTCAGCTCTAATACATTGAGCATCAAAATCATTACACCAAGTAACCTTTTCAACACATGTTGGACAAAGTTGTTTTGGAAGGGGATCTGTTTTTTTCACCTAAAAATTATATGTACCTGTGAAATTAAAACTGATAAAAGAAGAAAGCTTTTTAATTCAACCTCAATACCTTAATACTTAGACATGTGTTTATCTTGTCCAAAAGTCTTAAGGACTCTCCAAACTCTGAATAAATATAAATAGGATTAGTGGTTTCCCCAGCACATAAACGGCACAGAGATTTGAAATGATTTTGATTGTCAGTATCAGGAGGCAATTCTAAAACTTCATTAGGGGATAATGGTTCATCCTGAGACCAAATAATTGATGCCTCAAAATCATCAAGATCATTTTCATGCTCACTCAATGTGCTAATTGAGTCTGTCTTTCCAATATTCATATTACAAAACTATATATTTATTTATCTGAAATATAAAATAAAAAATCAATACTTCTTTTTAACAACAATTAAATTTTTAATGAATCAAACATGACAATGAAATTAAAAAGTTACAAGTTGATAATTACTTCATTAGTTGTATCATATTTACACACCCAATGAAAATTTTATTTGAAATAATGAATCAATAACTTAATTTACTAATTTACATCTTTATATTTTTATTACGGAGATGTTGAATGATTATTATTATTATTGTTAAATTATAAGAAACAAATGTTCATCTTTCGTTTTCTCTTGTGGGCGGATTGAACATGATCGAAAATATGTCAGAGTAGATTACCTCGTTCCTTGGAAATAATATGAAGATTCTTTCATGGCAAACTAAACTTGAATCTTCGTATTACAAAACAATTCAACGTGTAACTGATTCTATTTTATCAAGATGTATTTCTGGTAAACATGCTGTCAGGACAACAGAAACAAAAGCGAATCTTGAGCTCCATAATTGTATACTTTGAATTTAATGAATCCATTTTACTCAATAAATCATACAATATTAGGTAATAATAAATTATACAAAAAATGTTTTAAGCTACTTTAGTTTATTAAAATCTCTGACATAGTATATAATCTTTTTCTTTCTATGTTATAGAAATAACAATGAAGTAAAAAATAATTTAATATAAAATATATCTTTTCATTACAAATTATGTCTTAACATATTTTACATTAAAAAATATAATTACAATAAATATTTAAATTGAATTCGCACAAACTTCTTTGGAGAACAGTGCCCATTATTCTGTTACTACAATATATCTTAGATCATTCTTTACTCTATATTCTCTTAATCTTTTACAATGTCTTAAAACAGTTATTAAGTTTAACTTGATCTTGTTAAGTTTCACTTTCATGTGCGTTTCATAATCTTCCTGTCTCTTATACACATCTAGATGTGTATAAGAGACAGTTCTTTACTCTATATTCTCTTAATCTTTTACAATGTCTTAAAACAGTTATTAAGTTTAACTTGATCTTGTTAAGTTTCACTTTCATGTGCGTTTCATAATCTTCCTGTCTCTTATACACATCTAGATGTGTATAAGAGACAGTTCTTTACTCTATATTCTCTTAATCTTTTACAATGTCTTAAAACAGTTATTAAGTTTAACTTGATCTTGTTAAGTTTCACTTTCATGTGCGTTTCATAATCTTCCTGTCTCTTATACACATCTAGATGTGTATAAGAGACAGTTCTTTACTCTATATTCTCTTAATCTTTTACAATGTCTTAAAACAGTTATTAAGTTTAACTTGATCTTGTTAAGTTTCACTTTCATGTGCGTTTCATAATCTTCCTGTCTCTTATACACATCTAGATGTGTATAAGAGACAGTTCTTTACTCTATATTCTCTTAATCTTTTACAATGTCTTAAAACAGTTATTAAGTTTAACTTGATCTTGTTAAGTTTCACTTTCATGTGCGTTTCATAATCTTCCTGTCTCTTATACACATCTAGATGTGTATAAGAGACAGTTCTTTACTCTATATTCTCTTAATCTTTTACAATGTCTTAAAACAGTTATTAAGTTTAACTTGATCTTGTTAAGTTTCACTTTCATGTGCGTTTCATAATCTTCCTGTCTCTTATACACATCTAGATGTGTATAAGAGACAGTTCTTTACTCTATATTCTCTTAATCTTTTACAATGTCTTAAAACAGTTATTAAGTTTAACTTGATCTTGTTAAGTTTCACTTTCATGTGCGTTTCATAATCTTCCTGTCTCTTATACACATCTAGATGTGTATAAGAGACAGTTCTTTACTCTATATTCTCTTAATCTTTTACAATGTCTTAAAACAGTTATTAAGTTTAACTTGATCTTGTTAAGTTTCACTTTCATGTGCGTTTCATAATCTTCCTGTCTCTTATACACATCTAGATGTGTATAAGAGACAGTTCTTTACTCTATATTCTCTTAATCTTTTACAATGTCTTAAAACAGTTATTAAGTTTAACTTGATCTTGTTAAGTTTCACTTTCATGTGCGTTTCATAATCTTCCTGTCTCTTATACACATCTAGATGTGTATAAGAGACAGTTCTTTACTCTATATTCTCTTAATCTTTTACAATGTCTTAAAACAGTTATTAAGTTTAACTTGATCTTGTTAAGTTTCACTTTCATGTGCGTTTCATAATCTTCCTGTCTCTTATACACATCTAGATGTGTATAAGAGACAGTTCTTTACTCTATATTCTCTTAATCTTTTACAATGTCTTAAAACAGTTATTAAGTTTAACTTGATCTTGTTAAGTTTCACTTTCATGTGCGTTTCATAATCTTCCTGTCTCTTATACACATCTAGATGTGTATAAGAGACAGTTCTTTACTCTATATTCTCTTAATCTTTTACAATGTCTTAAAACAGTTATTAAGTTTAACTTGATCTTGTTAAGTTTCACTTTCATGTGCGTTTCATAATCTTCCTGTCTCTTATACACATCTAGATGTGTATAAGAGACAGTTCTTTACTCTATATTCTCTTAATCTTTTACAATGTCTTAAAACAGTTATTAAGTTTAACTTGATCTTGTTAAGTTTCACTTTCATGTGCGTTTCATAATCTTCCTGTCTCTTATACACATCTAGATGTGTATAAGAGACAGTTCTTTACTCTATATTCTCTTAATCTTTTACAATGTCTTAAAACAGTTATTAAGTTTAACTTGATCTTGTTAAGTTTCACTTTCATGTGCGTTTCATAATCTTCTTTGGTGAAGAAATACACATAATCTGAAACACAACATAATTTAATTCTCTATACTATGAAATTGCTTTTTATACAAACTTCTTACCATTTCCATTACAAATATCTAAATCTTGTTCCTTATAATGAAGATAAAGATTCATATTGCCTTGCTTTCTAACTTGTGCTTTCCCCATTGACAACAGTGTATATTTTGCTTTCAAAACCTGATTAATGGCATCTACCAGATTGTTCAGTGTTTCTAGAGACTGTCTTCCAATAATATACTTTGGAATACTATCGAATTCATTTTTGGTTATTAAATCTATTCTTGGGTAAACAACAGGCTCGTCAAACAAAATTTTCTTGCAGTCTTTTATTCGTGCCTCCGTTTGTTTCTTTGTATCTGTATCTGTATCACTCTTATTATCTACTGATATTTCTTCATCGTAATGTAATGCTAATATTTCTTTCAAAACATGGTTCAATTCATTCTCAGAATGATGGAAATCATGTATCAATGTAGGTGGAACATTCTGTTCCATATGGACAATTTTATCATCCAAATTTTGTATCAGCAACAATAATTCCTAGAATTGTTTCAAAACACAGATTCTACAACTTGAAGATTTTAGTTCTTTCCTAGAAATTCTGCTTATCAAAATCGAATTATACTAATTATTACAAATCCTTACTTGACATTCCTTATTTTGTTCGCTGATTTTGTGCAATTGTTTCCTTAATACATCAATGTCATCAGATATGTCCGAGATTTGCTCATACATCTCCAAGAGCTCGTCCTTTATTTCGTGTTTAACTAAAACGAAAACATCGAAATTAATATAATGGCAGCAATGTAAATGGTTAACACATTAGTAAAATGAAGATATAAATAACACGTTAAACAATTTTATAAATATACACTTTATAATAAATTTTTTATTCGATCGTACTTTTATGTAACATCGTTGCAGATTCGAGATATTGTAACTTATCACACAGTTGTTTCAGGATTTCATCGATACAACAGGAGTTCGCCATCGTTCGAGTAAAATGTATGTCAACGTTTTATATTTATATTAAAACTTTGGCCAAAATATCGTATTTTGTTCAAAGAACGGTTACAATTCACTAACAGTTTGTAAAACTTTGAATTTAAGTTAGTTCGTAGATGGCGCAATGTGCTATAGTTACAGGTGCATTCCAATTGGACATATAAATTGCAAATTGTAATCATTACATAAACATTTTAATGCATTTGTAAAATTGTAACACATACATATTATAAGTACACAGTGAATGTTTATGAAATTTTTTATAGGTCTTCAGATGAATTTAGAGAAATTGAAATCGTAATACATGTATATAGAAGAAACCATATTAAATAATTATTCTTAAACAAATCATTTGTTACTTCTCTCATAAAAGTAATTAAAAATGAATTTATCATGTATGTACATGAAAACGCTCGAATCAGCTTTATTGAAAATCAACCTTCAGTGCGCATGCGTAAACAAGTTGTGAGACTTTCTTGTTCAAATTTCTTAATTCTTATACAAAATAATACAACAATGCGATACAATAGAAAAAGTTGTTTCGTAGTTGTATTCGGTTCATAAAAGTGTACATTTGTGAACCATCACTTTCTGTTACATTACGTTGAAGATATTGCCAGCAAAATATTAACTTGAAAAAGTGGCATCGCTACATGCACATACATAGAGGGTATCAAGGTCATCGAATTTAATATTAACAATTCCACCAAAAGTTTCGCTTCTAATATACTCTGTAGTTCCAGGAAAAGATTCAACGTTGCGCCGCGAGATGTTAGCGTGTTCGCGTGGAACACGTTCGTTGTCCGGGATTCTCTTCTGGTTCCTTGACTGTTTCAAGAAGCTACTGTCATTTTCCCTATTTCGTCATCGTTTCGCGTGATTTCGTGGAGTATGTTTCGACACGTAACACTGTGACGAAACGTCAAAAGTTTCTTGATTAACGAACGTTCGTTGACTCCGGAATTCTTGCTTTATCTAGAGTCTCGTTGTCAGTACTTCAGAAGCTGCCAGTAGCCAAAGAGGCGGAGGCGGAGGAAGAGGAGGAGGAGGAGGAGGAGGTCTCACCTCCGAGAGGTGATCGCGAACGATGCTCGAGACACCGGTGAGGAAGTCACGGTCGTGAAAATGCGTGCCTCGAATCGAGTCGCGTGTTCACCCGTGCCAGCCTAGCAAAGGACTGAGCTTGGCCTGGTGACGATGCAAGATAACTCCAAAGAGATGTTCATCATTCGAGCATTAGAAAAGATCCTGGCTGACCGGGATGTCAAACGGTCGCATCTCTCTCAACTTAGAAAATCCTGCGAAACTGCACTCGGTAATTAATATTTCTAGTTCCCTGCCTTTCTCTTTGTTATGCTCTGTCAACTATGGATGGCATCAAATATAATATTTAATTATGAATTCTAGCACAGGTCAATATCTTATCTGAGTTATATCTCATCAGCATTAGATTCATTGCAATGTGATCATTTTATAGTTGGTTTTAAGCCTTAGACCAAACACATGCAGTAAGATGCTAGTTCCAGGTAGTACAAGAGTAGTTCGTACACATGATAATAAATACCTATAGTCATTGACAGTATACAATATTGACTTTCATCGGATGCCAAAAATTCCACAGTCAAGGAAATAAGTATATAAGTTTCTTAGAAATAGAATGCAATATAAAATATTTTTTGTTAGAAAATTATGTACTTTATGGCAAAAGATATTTGTTAATGGAACATCGTGGAATAGCATATTTAGTCTATAGTATCATTATTTTCATTTAATTCTTATTAACTTTCTGTTATTAAATTATCAATGGTTATCATTTCATTGACCTTACATCTGAGTGCATAATAGGATACAAAACAAAAGACTGTTTGGATTATAACTGCATTATGTTCTTCTTATTGTAAATACATTGTATTATAGTTAAAAATTTTGGTTAAATAAAATTGAGAATTACAAGGTGTTACATATTGTGATTGATAGCATTTCTTGGTCTTCACGGTGAAGCTTAAATTGAATTATATTCATATGACACTTGATACATTGCATCATCACAGTCTACTCTTAACACTCAGATGCTTAATCTGACTACAGATATTGAAAATATGAGATTTTTAAGCTATTGAAAACAAAATTCTTTTGCAATAGATCTAAAAGTATGTCTTAATTCTTTTATTGAGCACAATGAGTATTTAAACTTCTGGCTTTCATTACATGTATCAATATTAACTGGTCAATTAACATATGTCATTCTGGTTTATTTTTATATCTTTATTCTTGGGTGGGGATAAAACTATATATATATAAGAAACAATTCTTCTTCTTCTACACACATGCACGCACGCACACACACACACACGCACGCACACAATATATGTGTTATATATATATATACATATATATAATATATTCTGTCTTTCAGATAATTTGCGGAATGAGATTAAAGAAGTGTCAGGCACGCAGGTTTCAACTGCATTGCCTCAGCCCCGCAGTGAATCCTATGTTATTTCTGCAGAAAAATATTTTTTACCATTCGAACTTGCCTGTCAGAGCAAGTCTCCACGAATTGTGCAAACTGCTCTGGACTGTCTGCAGAAATTGATTGCTTACGGCCATCTGACTGGAAATGTACCTGACTCTACCGAGCCAAATAAACTGTTAATCGTCCGGATCGTTGAGACAATCTGTGGATGTTTCATAGGACCGCAAACGGATGAGGGTGTTCAGTTGCAGATCATAAAGGCACTTTTGACAGTAATGACTAGTCAGCATGTCGAAGTTCACGAGGGTACCGTACTTCTTGCGATACGCATTGTTTACAGCGTTTATTTGGCCTCTAAGAACCTGGTTAATCAAACCACGGCTCGTGCTACGCTCACCCAGATGATCAATGTCATTTTCGCACGAATGGAAACACAAGCTGTAAGTCTGTAAATTTAGAAGGTACATATTTTACAATTATACATCTCTTACTTTTCTTGTCAGGAAGAGGAAAATATTAAAAATGAAATGGAGCACACAGAAACTGCTGTCAACACTACCAACTGCACTTCCAGTGGAGAACTTGAAACTGAGACAGTGAATAATGAAGAAACTGCTACAGAAAATAGTCAAGAGACACATTTAATTGTACGAGGGATTCTGGAGGATGTAGTCAATTCCGTGGTACCAGAGGATACAACCAGTGCAGCGACAATAGTGTCAGAGGAAGCAAGCTTAGACCAAGTGCCTATGGACGACAACTCCGACGAGGCTGTGGCAGAAAGCGACAATATGGTCAGGGCGAAATTTACACATGTCCTGCAGAAAGATGCTTTCCTGGTCTTCAGAGCACTCTGTAAACTTTCTATGAAACCCCTTCCGGATGGTACTCTAGATCCTAAGTACGTATACGTACACACATGTATATACATACGAGAAACATATTTGTAAGATGAATTGGGCTTTTTCAGGTCACACCATCTCAGGTCTAAGATCCTTTCGTTGCAACTACTTCTGGGCATACTGCAAAACGCGGGACCAGTATTACGTTCGAACGAGATGTTCGTAATAGCTATAAAACAATACCTCTGCGTAGCGCTCTCAAAGAACGGCGTCTCATCGGTTCCTGAGGTGTTCGAACTTTCGTTGGCGTTGTTCTTGGCCTTGCTGGCTCGTTTCAAAGTGCACTTAAAAATGCAGATAGAGGTTTTCTTCAAGGAAATCTTTATGAACATTCTTGAAACTTCCAGTAGCTCCTTCGACCACAAGTGGATGGTGATACATGCTTTGACACGCATTTGTGCGGACGCTCAAAGCGTTGTTGACATATATGTGAACTACGATTGTGATCTTTCAGCTGCAAATTTATTCGAAAGGTAAGCCAATGCAGCAGACCATAATACAATCAGTATCAGCAACGAAACGTATTTTATTGTTCGTGTATTTTAACATGTAACTAAATCCTGTATTTTATTGTTCGCAGGCTTGTAAATGATTTGTCAAAGATTGCACAAGGTAGACAAGCGTTGGAATTGGGTGCTTCGCCTAATCAGGAGAAATCGATGCGTATCAGAGGTCTAGAGTGCTTAGTTTCCATTCTGAAATGCATGGTTGAGTGGAGTAGAGATTTGTACGTGAATCCGAGCGTGCCAGCTGATCAACAGCTGCCTTCAGAACCGCCAGATCCTCCTGCGGAACCGCCATTACCGCGTTATGGCAGCGCAGGAAGTTTGTCGTCTGCGAATTCTAGTCTGGCAGGAAACAAGGAGATTCCGGACTCCCCAGAGCAATATGAAGTGCAGAAGCAACAAAAAGAAGTGTGGGAAACAGGGATCGACATGTACGAACCGAAAATCATAATTTTAGTCTTTCGTCCCCCTACCTTGTTCATTTGTCCTAGTGCCTGAAGTATCAAGCTGACTCCAAATTAAAGCGAGAGAGAACTTGTTGACGAGACTGCCTGGTATTTCTGGCCGTTTAACGATTAGGAAGCGCTACGCGCAGTTAAATAGGAATGCTTTCTATTAATTAAGTGGTATTCTTACCTCTAGTTTTAATCGAAAGCCAAGCAAGGGAGTACAATATCTTCAAGAACAAGGTCTTCTAGGTAATTCGTCTGATGACGTTGCCCGCTGGCTACATATGGACGAACGACTCGATAAAACCGCGATAGGCGATTTTCTCGGCGATCATAATCACAATCAGGTGATGTACAGCTATATTGATCAAATGAATTTTGCTGACCGCGATTTAGTTACAGCCCTCAGATACTTTCTCGAGGGCTTCCGATTGCCCGGCGAGGCGCAGAAGATCGATCGGCTCATGGAAAAGTTCGCCAGCCGATATTGTGAATGTAATCCAAAGTGAGTATTCGCTAACAAGAATTATGCCTACATAAGAAGTTTCGAAATAGTTCCTGTCTTCTGAAAATTTCTATTTTGCATAAAGATGCGCAATCTAATTATGATTTACCAATCAATGTGATTTCCTAATGCTATATATAAAATTGAAATCTTGGCAAGTTTTCATGGAAGTATTTGGTTCTTTGTATCTAACTATTTATTTTATGATTGAATGATCTCATTTTACAGTAACGGATTGTTCACAAGCGCTGACACCGCTTACGTGCTGGGTTTTTCCATAATCATGCTCACAACCGATCTCCACTCGCCGCAAGTTAAAAATAAAATGACGAAAGAACAGTATATCAAGTTGAACCGGCGGATTAGTGATAACGAAGACTTACCTGAAGAATATTTATCAAAGATTTACGATGAGATTGCCGGTAATGAGATTAAGATGAAATCAAATCCCAACAGACCTGGAAAGCAAGGTAGCTTTCATCAAAAAAAGGACGAAAGATGTTTTGTTTATTAACGGAGTTAGTTATAATAATTCCAACTGATGTTTCAGTAATATCCAGTGAAAAGAAACGACGTTTGCTGTGGAACATGGAGATGGAAGTAATATCGACCGCAGCGAAAAACTTGATGGAATCCGTCAGCCACGTTCAGGCGCCGTTCACAACAGCCAAACACTTAGAACACGTTCGACCGATGTTTAAAATAGCTTGGACACCGTTTTTGGCTGCGTTCAGCGTCGGTCTCCAAGATTGTGATGACCCTGAAATAGCTTCTTTATGCTTAGACGGCATCAGATGTGCAATTCGCATCGCTTGCATATTTCATATGACGGTAAATAATTTTTTGGAGTCGATAAAGTTCTATTTCGTGATATCATCGATACCTCTGTAATGGTCGATTACTTTATTTTCGAAGATAAATAATATATTTAATAATTTGAAGGTTCTAGCATACAGCGATAATAAAAAAGCTGTCAAGATAAGAAAATCCTTGGTATAAATAGTATTTTTTTTCTTGGGCATATATAGTTGGAGCGAGACGCATACGTACAAGCGCTAGCGCGGTTCACTTTGCTGACTGCGAATTCTCCCATCACCGAAATGAAGGCGAAGAACATAGATACCATAAAGACATTAATAACCGTGGCGCACACTGATGGAAATTACCTTGGCAGTTCCTGGTTGGACGTAGTAAAATGCATCTCACAATTGGAACTCGCGCAATTAATAGGGACCGGAGTCAGACCGCAGCTTTTGGGCCCGCCGTCTAAGCCACATTTCCCTTCACCATTGGTGACTTTTAATCTAACCCATAATAACTCTCATCAAAATAACAATTTGAATCTCAGTTCACTAGACCGTGAGTGTCATAATAAGAATCTCATAATAAGAATCTTATAAAGCGTCTCTTTATTGAAATTTGCATTGTACTCATTTGTTGTTTCTTTTCAAATTGCAGCAAGCGTGAAAGAGTCAATAGGAGAAACAAGCTCCCAGAGTGTGGTTGTAGCTGTTGATAGAATCTTTACAGGGTCCACCAGACTAGATGGAGATGCAATCGTGGAATTCGTCAAGGCTCTATGTCAGGTGTCTCTAGAAGAATTATCCCACCCAACCCAGCCACGCATGTTCTCGTTGACCAAGATCGTTGAAATCTCCTATTATAACATGGGTCGTATCAGACTTCAGTGGTCTAGGATTTGGCAGGTTATCGGAGATCACTTTGACAGAGTTGGCTGTAGTCCTCGACAAGAGATAGCATTCTTTGCAGTCGATTCTTTGAGACAATTGGCTACAAAGTTCATTGAAAAAGGCGAGTTCGCGAACTTCCGGTTTCAAAAGGACTTTCTAAGACCGTTCGAGCATATTATGAAGAAGAATAGATCGCCGGTGATCAAGGACATGGTTGTTCGTTGCGTTGCGCAGATTGTACACTCGCAGGCTCCTAATATTCGGTCCGGTTGGAAGAACATATTCAGCGTGTTCCATCATGCTGCTAGCGATAGGGACGAATCTGTGGTCGAACTGGCATTTTCAATGACCGGAAAAATTATTAGTGAGTATAGAAAGACCTAACATGAGTGAACATTCATTTCTTGATTAAAAAAGATTCCTTGTCACGCAGTACTTCTTTTACAGATGAGTTGTACGCAGAAGACTTCAGCATCATGGTAGACTCCTTTCAAGATGCCGTCAAGTGCCTCAGTGAATTCGCCTGCAATGCCTCTTTCCCAGAAACAAGCATGGAGGCCATAAGGTTGATACGGTCTTGCGCTTCGTATATCGATGTCAATCCAAATCTGTTCGCAGAAGGAATGATGGATGACAGTGGAATGGTGTCCGAGGAGGATAGAGCTTGGGTACGCATATTTCTGCATTGGTTAAAAATTTAAATAATTTTGTTTTATCTTTTGTCTAGGTAAGGGGATGGTTTCCGCTATTGTTTGAGTTATCCTGTATAGTGAATAGATGTAAATTAGACGTGCGAACACGAGCACTGACCGTTCTATTCGACGTTGTGAAAACTCATGGCGCATCTTTCAAACCCCACTGGTGGAAGGACCTGTTTCAAGTTCTGTTCAGAATCTTTGATAACATGAAGCTTCCTGAGCAACACACAGAGGTAATAATCATAATTGTAAAATGAACATCGTATCTGATACTAAAGTTACATTATCAATCATCAGAAAGCGGAATGGATGACAACAACGTGCAACCATGCGCTTTACGCCATCGTGGACGTCTTCTCCCAGTTTTACGATACTCTAGGGCCTCTTCTATTGGAACAACTATACTCTCAATTACTTTGGTGTGTACAACAGGATAACGAACAACTGGCACGATCGGGTACCAATTGTCTAGAAAATCTGGTCATTAGCAATGGAATCAAGTTCGATGAAAAGACTTGGGAGAAGACTTGTTGCTGCGTACTAGATATATTCGAAAGCACATTGCCATCAGCGTTGCTGACATGGAAGCCGCAGTCTCCTAATAAAGAGTCCGACCTTGATGTGATCACAGGCGATGCTGACGGTCACGTGGGCATTTTAAAAAGGAGCAACAGCTCTCAGAGTTTAACGAATAGCGACACATTGAAGAACAAAGTATTCTCCGCGCTTTTGATCAAGTGCGTGGTCCAGTTGGAGCTGATCCAAACGATAGATAACATTGTATTTTATCCGGCCACGTCGCGCAAGGAGGACCAGGAAAATCTTGCACTGGCACAAGCAGATATGTTCAACGGAAAGTCCTCCGAACTAGGCGTGAGAGCAGGGGCAGATCAGCAGAAGGAGGAGCAAGGCATGTACTGTGCCCTTACCACCACACATTTACTGCAGCTAGTCGAATGTCTCCTAAAGTCTCACCGGTTTGCCAAGGGCTTCAACTCCAATCATGAGCAACGAAATGTCCTGTGGAAGGCTGGTTTCAGGGGTAGCGTGAAGCCTAATTTGTTGAAGCAGGAGACGCAGTCGTTAGCCTGTGCTCTGCGGATCCTTTTCAAGATGTATAGCGATGAAGCTCACAGAGCGGATTGGAGCAAAGTGGAGGCTAGGCTGGTGGAGGTAGCCTGCGAAGCGTTAGAATATTTCCTGGCGTTATCGAACGAGGCTCATAGGGAAGCTTGGACCCCAATTTTGTTGCTACTCCTTACTAGAATTCTCAAGATGAGCGACAACAGGTTCGCGGTCCATGCATCCAACTGTTACCCTCTGCTCTGCGAGGTGATGTGCTTTGATCTCAAGCCGGAATTGCGATCCGTTTTGCGGAGATTCTTTTTAAGGATCGGTCCAGTGTTCAGGATCACCCAACAATAGTCGTTGTAACAGTTTAGAAGGAAAATGGCCGTGTTTTTTATCGCTTTACGGTGTATAAAGTCGATTCTTGTAATTACAGGTTGTGAGTCCCTTTCTGATAGTAGTAGAAGAATCTTGTATAGTTGAATGAAGGGATATCTGGTCTACATGATTGATATCACGATGTTTTCTTTCCTAAGCAATGAAAGAAGATAGTTTTGCAATCTCTAGAAGTGTTGCTATCACCTCTGCCACAATCATAAAAGAAAGATTTGTTACAAAATGGCAGTCGATTGAAACTCGTAGTTCTTGTATTATAAGTTTTAGGTGCCATAGAAAATTGGAGTTTTGAAAATACTGACTTGATTATGGTAGAGATTAACCTGATTTAAAAGAATCAATTTTTCTGTACTATTGTGTATGTAGATAGCGAATATAGCATTGGGCAGATTCTTGTTCTCTCTGTTCTATAAGTAAGAATCTTCTTTATACACGAAAATTTGTCTAAACGGTACGAGCGAGATAATTATCCATTTCAACTATTTTCTCAGATATGGGAATCAAAAGAATGTTAAAGAGGTATGTACGAGCAGAACAAAATAAGAAACAATGTTTTAGCTAAAACGTTAGAAGAAGCATAACGTGTATGTATTGTATATGTTTCGAAATCTCAATTGTATTTACTTCGTTCTTCTTTTTTATAAGAAAGAGCCTTCAATGGGAGACCTATATATTCGGTCGATTACGTATACGCAGGGTATTTAATAAATAGGGTATTTTCTGGATATAAAAAGTTCTTATCGTAGTGTTTTTTTTAAAATTAGATTTTAATATTCGGTTCATCGATCGGTTGTAATTTAATGATAAAAAAAATATTCCTAGATGAACATTAATTATTATTTAGTAAGGCTAGGGTAAAAAACGGTTCGACAAATGTTGATAGTCAATTTATTTACAATGCTTGATAGTCTTCTACATCGCGTGCCAGTTGTGTCTGGGAATGAAAGCTCGTGTTTCTCAGAAAATACACTATTTATGAAATGTTTTGTATATTTAAACATAATCATATACAAGGTGTCTCTCAAAGTATACTGTATTATAGACGGATTAAATTGTTGTTTGAAGAAGAAGATAATTTTCCATATTTTTATAGAATCGATTAGCGACCTTGGTCATCACTCGAATAAGTTACAAAAATCTTTATCACCTGTAGCCACGTAGAAGCTTCAACAATTGTTTTATTTTGGACTTAGAGACCTTATTTTTTACGGTACATTTTTCGAGACACTGTATGTATATTCAAAATACTTAGGAAATGATAGTATAAGCAAGAAGTGGCGGATACTTAATTGGAAATAAAACGGTTTACGACGACTATTTTCTTCTGAAAGAAATGTTCAGTCTCGAATTCAGAAATGGTTGAATTATTAAACGCAATGGATAAAAGACCCGACGTTTTCAAACAACTTGAACTACAACTCTTCTCAGTTTTGGTTATTTCTCGCAAATACTTTATATCCAATTCTGTTCGGTACACTTTCGCTCTCTGTGTTCAATTTTAATAAACGCAAACGTCTAAAGCACAGGTTTTTAATGAATTTTTCGAGATCCAATTCACTAGGGGAAAAAAAATAGTATTTCATACTATCGAGTTTCTCGTCTCTAGCTTGTACTATTGTTTTTGACACGCAGCCTGTGTATAAATGCAAAACTTGCATAGTCATCACCAAGTAGTCATATAAATATCCATCGTGGATAGGTGTTCAGACAACGAGTGATAGATATCTTGATAACTCGCTAGGGTTTCGATCGTTGCATGTATATTCACACCGTATAGAACTATTTATGCTTAAGTTAGATTAATTATTTACATAATGCAATATTTAAATAAATTCTAGAGAAACGATACATTTTGTTACTTCTATATTTCCTGTTAATTGATAACATTAACACAAACTCATAGAACTATATTTATAGCAATAGTAGACTTCACCTGCAAACTATATAAAAGTTAATTGAAAAGTAATATAAAATATCGCCTACTCAGTTCTGCTACGACTGTTTAGACTTTAAGAACGAAAATTTTTACCTGCTAATTATAGTTATAATGAAATTCACTCATTTAATTAGACAATTGTATGGGAGATGTGTTCAGAAGGAATAAGTAGGCACTGCTCCGCACCACTCTTGGACAAAAGCCAAAATATCATTAAGAGCTGAATCTTGGGGAGCTTGACGAGCTGTGTTGATTAATTTTGTCCAATCATCACGATCAGCAACACGTTCGCCCTTATTAAAACACAATTATGATAAATGTGAAAAAGTATATATACTTAATTAAAAAAGTGAAAAATATTCTTGTACCTCTGAAAATCGGGTTATCGAACCCCGTACAGGGTAACCTGTTAGAATGCAGTTTTGAATAGGTGGGGATTCTACAGCTGGAGATGTCAATGAGCCTACATAAACTCCTCTGTGATCAGTAGGTAGAACCTGTTCCACCTTTTGATCCATAGAAACTGCCAGTATCCATTCACGGACTTCTTCTCTCTGTTCTGACGTTACGCCTAGACAGTTTGGTAATGGGACTTCCACGGGGAAGTCTGTAACAGCTAGATCATCAACGTCAAGTACAGTGCTGTCACCTTCCTCGATACACTCCTCCAAATCAAGGAAGTGATTCAGGAAGACGAACGCTTCACTGTTCAATCCTGCTGTTCGTGCTTCAATGCCAGCTTCATAATATGCTCGGTCAACGAGGACCAAATCAGTGTATCTCAACAAAGTTATAGAGGACTTCAGAACTAGTCCTGACAGTACAGGATACTCTTTGCATCCGCATTTCACTGCAGAGTAATGGGTCGATTCGAGCAGTCTTTCAAACTTTGATCTGGTTGCGTTGGGAGATTTCAAGTTCTTCCAGAGGTCCAAAAGAACTGTTCTGAGGACCGCCAGATGTTTGTACTCGTAATATGCCTGTGAAAAGTTTCAATCTAAAATTGCTAGCATGAGAAATGCTAGTCGAATGTTCTAATAATGCTCACCGTAGAGTGTAGAACGCTTTCAGATATCTGTAGATAAAGGTTAAAATTTTGTGAAATAGGCGGTGTTCCATACTTCGCATACAATTGCAAGGCCTCCAATGGAACATTTGATTTCAAAAGTTGCGCTGCTCGTTGTGCTACATATTTATGTAGAGTCTGAGTGTCTTGAGAGCTGGCTGCCTCAAATACTTGATTCCATTGTCCTCTGTTAGCTAGTATTTCTAAACCGGCATCTGCATCAATTTCCACCAATCTATCTATTTGTCCGTCCCTTAGCATTGCATCCTTGTACTTTTCTTCCAGATATGGCTCTATATCTGGTGCTAATTCCCTCACTATACGTCTGGCTCTTTCCCATTCTCCCACTGATGCCAGAGCGTCTATAGCATCCTTCAGTCTATCTGCTTGTAGAAACACCTGTGAATGAAAGATATAAATACAGAAAATATTTCAAACGGACGACTGTGGCTATGAAAAGTATTTTATGGATCAAAAACCTGCGCAGCCAGAGCATGTTCACCAACAGCAAATAGTCGCGAGCCAAGGTCTCCTCCAACTGCAGCCGCAGTTTCCGAATCTGCTTGATGCAGTAAAATTTCAGCAGCTCGAATCAGAGAGGCTCTAGAGGCCTGTGGATCTAAAATCAAGATATCCAAGGCGGCCTTCACTTCTCCGACTTCCAACCACTTCTTAGCTTCCTCGAAAACGTTCGCCCCGGCGAAAGAAGCGCTCTTTTGCCCTAATTCTCGTCTGAGATTAGCTTCTTGACTAGGCAAGTACTCTCTGCAGACCCGCAACGCCTCCGACCACATTCCAGCTTTCTGTAATATTTAAGACATCCTGAATCTAGCCATGAAACGTTTACAGTAACAATCGATATTTACCTTGTAATGATCTATAATAATCTCAGGTTTGTGTGCTCTTAACAGTACAGTCTCTGCAAGAGAATAGTCCTGAGCCTCAGCAGCTTCGCTAGCTCTAGCAACTAAAACCTGAGCAACTGCATCCTGATTAAGCGATTGTGCTATATCCTCAGCTGATTCCCAGTCGCGAGTATGTATGTACATTTGCACAGCCTCCATAGTTCTCCCCGCATTGATAAATTCTTTCTCAGCCTCAGCGAAACGACCTTCATCCTCTAAAGCCATAGCATGTCTATAGTGGACCTCTTTCTTCTGTTCTGGTGTGCTGTATTTTGCGATTTCCAATCCCCAATCGAATATATTTGCTTCGCAGGCCAGCTGAAGACATCCATCTAGGTAACCTAGTCTCATCAACAACCTTGCCCCTAGCTCGGGGGCCAAAGTACGGGCCCACATTAAAGCAACCTGTAGAAAAGATATCAGTATTGTTTATTTTATTCTTAAATTCTTCGAAATCTTTGTATTACAATCTCATATTAACACCTGTTGAGCTGCGTTGTCTCCAGCATTCTGTTTAGCCACCCTCAGAGCATCCTCCCACATATTAGCTGACCGATAAGCGGTCACAGCACCTCGCCAGTCACCAGCAGCAAGGTAGTGTTCTTCAGCTTCTCTAGGTTTGCCTGCAGCGTCTAATTCTCTTGCTAAATGTACATGTGTTGGTTGCAATAAATCCGGTCTATACTTTCCCACAAGTCTCACCATATCTGACCGACGACCTGCCTTCTTGTACATCGCTATGGCGGAATCATTCTCGCCAATTGCAAGATACAATTCTTCTGCGTGCTTAAGGTCGCCAGCTTCGTAGAGGACTGCCGCATGTTTAGCGAGCACTTCATTGGCTAACTCAGAGTCCATGTATTCCTGTGCCACTTCATGGGCACGACTCCAGTTGCCACTTTGAATATGAACGTCCACTGCGCGTTTTGTATCTCCTGAACGAATGTAAAGCTTCTCTGCGAGGTTCCTCTCGCCTATAGAGGCGAAGTATTCGGCCAGTTTCTCACATTGTTTCCTGATTGTAGGATCGTCAGTCTCGATTACCTATTTAAAAGGTATAGCGTGTAATTATCAGTTCTATCAACATTATTTTTAATTGAAAACATACTTGTACAATTTGTAACCCTTTTCTCCATTGATGAGCATTTATAGCAGCATCCAGGGCTAGGGCAGTCTCTCCAGCTTCAATGAAATGATTAATAGCAGCGTCATAGTGACCAGCTGAGGCCAAATGTGTGCCCCAGTCTCGTTCAAGATCCACCACCATGGTGGGATCCACTTTTCTAGCCAGTTCTAGTGCTCTAGCGAATACTCCGGCTTGAGCATAACATCGTATAGCCTCCAAATGCCCCGAAGTCTTCTCCAATAGCTCTCCAGCAAGCTCCAATAGGTCTGTTGCTTTCAGCACCTTCACAATCTCATTAACAATCGACTTGTCCTCTAGCAGTTCTTCATCAGCCAGAACCAATCTAGCTGCTCGCCCAGGTCGACGAGCTTCTAAATACAACTTAACAGCTCGTTGAGGATTAGTCGGCTCTAGAATAGCAGCAGCCCTGGCTGCTTGACCGCTCTCAAGGAGCCAGGTTAAATGCCTGTCCCTAAGTTCTTGCAAACCTGGCCAGCCACGATTCTGTGCCAAGATCAGCGCATCCTCCCAATGCCAATACTTTTGATACATGTCAAGAGCTAGATTTAGTTCATTTTGCTCAAGATATATTGCTTCCGCTGTCTTCAGCTCACCATTAAGTATCGCTAGCTTGGCCCAGCAGTCTGAACTAGAAAGGGGATCGTTGCCAGTTTCTGCACTGTATTTCTCGCCAGTCTTCACGATGTCCTTAAGGAATCTACAAAAGCACTGGACTGAATGAAAGCCTAGATATAATATGGTAATAATATTTTATTAATTATTAACAAAACCTGGAACAAGCGACATCCCCTAGAGCAGCGTAACATCTTGCAGCGACCAACAATTGTCTAGTAGCCATAGCGTTTCTGGCTACGTTTTCCCACATAGCCTCTGCCTGGGGTCTGTCTGCCAGTTCTTCCAGAAACAGCAGAGCTCTACCAAAGTCGCTATCATGTAAGGCCGTACCAAACTCAATCAAAGGTTCGTCCAGCAGGTAAGCTATTTTTCCACCTAATTCCTCAACAGTGACTGAGGTTCTACCATCTTCCCTGACAACATCCACTGCGTCTCCACGGATAGGGATTAGTGTTGCAACTTCTGGGGCATCGACGTTATACCAAACTGCTAATGTTTGACCTGTTTGAGCTACAACCACGTCGCTGCCTAGTACCCAAGAGACAAAGCTGACTCCGGTTAACAGTAAGCTTCGACTGCCAAGGTCATCGTTTAACCATAATCTATATTAAAAAATAGACTTCAATTTTGTAGAATATCAAGAGCCTTTACAGTTTGCTTTCCAATTACCTGGCCCTTTTGTCCCGTGACAGTAATCTGTGACCAGTTTCACTCAATTCCAACCAATCCACACGTACATCATGAGTAATCATTGTTACTGTCGCACCTGTTATAAAATCTACAATGCGTACTGTTCTAGGATCCAATAAATAAGCCAATCTCTTATTATCAGCAGCACCTGGCGACTGTCTCTCATTAATTCTGATACTGACCACATGGGGATTCACTGCTTCCGTTCTAACGGAACCCAGTGGTTCGTTATTCCCATATTCAACGATAGTCAGTTCTCCAGAACAGAAAATTAGACAAACTCTTGGAAATTCGAAGAAGAACTTCTCACTATTGCTTTTGTCCTCCCAAAATATCTCACTAATAAGATTCAGTTCTATGTCCGCGAGTAGCAGCGTGTTAGCTGTGCGAGCTACGACATTATTATCAGTACGTCCTAGAACCTTGACATCCTCTATTTCATTACCGGTCTGCGATCTGATAATTACTGGCCTGTTGCCTTCTTGCAGAGGACGAATAACCACCTGGTTAGGACCCACATAGGCCACTTCGTGACTGCCTCTTATCACTGTACGTTTCAAAACTGTTTCGAACTGCTCTACGGCTCCACAAAGACTACCCGCCACGAGCCTGAAAAACAACATTCAATCTAGGAAAGAGGTACAACCTTCACTCTCGTGGGAGACAGCTACCTTACTTTTTGGAACGGTTCTTGAGCTACTATTTGAGTTTCCAGGAACTCACACGTTATTACAGGGGTACCTTGTTAGATTTCAAGGAACAGGGTACAGAACGATATCTAAAGTCTCAAAGAACGATTATTAACAAACCTCGATCCGTCACGTCTCCATGCAATGGCAGTGACAGTATAAAAGTTCGGCAAGAATTTGGAGTTTGCTTCTTCCCAAATAGAACGCCTAGGACTCCAATCCAGTATTCGTATTTTATTCCAAGATCCAATGGCCACACTTTGTCCGCTGGGACTACAGTAAGCTACTGACATCTCCTTATCGTTTTCACGACTGTAATCAAAGATCTTTGTCACCTTCCCACGAGAGTCGTAGAAGGTCACTCGTCTGTCACATCCTGCTGCCAGAATGTGAGACTGAGGCCAGGCCAAGGCATATGCTGGCACACTGTGCGTACAGATGCGTCCAGAAGGTTCATGATTTCCGTCTTCTGTTAAATTATACTTTATGATGCTGCCATCGGCGTGACTGGACAGGAATCCTGTCCCTCTTATACTGCAATTTAAATATGACAATACAGAAAAAGTTAACAACGTTTATCATAGGCAAATTGTAGGATTAATTACTTTGAGGCTAATGCAATTGTAGTAGAATCAGCTGTATAAAGAGTTTGAGCTTTCTGAGACTTTGGTAACGCAGCACGAACTTTCCCATCCATCAAGCCGACGATAATAGGTCCATCGGAAAGCCAGATTAAACAAGTAACAGAGGAACTTTGATGAAATTTGTTGCAAATTACCTTCTTGTCTCCCCTGTCGATGCAATGTATAATATGAAGAAGAGAAGGGTCATAGTTACAAATGATATTACATACATACATGACACTATACATTACATATGTGTAGTATGTGCATACCATTGTTCTCCAATTTTGTACACGTAGATTATACAATCAGATTGACCCACTGCTATTTTGGTTGAGTCTGGAGAGAAAGCTATACCTTTGATCACATAACTCTTTTTACCAAACTGAAAACACAAAAGAGATCTTTTAATTTATGCAGTTATTATCACATAATGGTATTTTATATTGCATCACCAACAATTAATTAACATACCTTCGAATCGACAGGTTTTGTAGGAAATCTGTCCCGTTTCATACAGTTCTCATCAAATAGATAAATAGAACGATCAGAAGAAGCCACAGCAAGTTTTAAGTTGTTCGGTGACCAGACTATACTGACTACGCGATTCTCATATTCCTATTTTACATCGAAAATAGACATTATTTATTAAATAGACACTGATTTACACAGGGAAATTATTGAATTCCAATATGAAGTTGAAATTGTATATAGAAACTCACATACGGAGGCATGACGTTCCCTAAATACTTAAGTAACATGATTCCTACTGAATATCACAAAGTTACAATAGAAATCCTGCAAAATTAGCAATTAATTAAATAGTTCTTGGTACACATTATTCCACGTAGGAAATTCCAAGTTTCTCTATGATATATCAGAGTAAACAGAATTGTTGACGTTTACTGACGTTTACGTCGCCTAGCAACAGCTTCGAGGAGTTCAAATGTGGAGGGAATTGACTTAATTGAGTGCACGAAGTTCCGTTCTACCCTTCCGAAAAAGATAGTTGATTCATTCTGAAAAGTATAAAAACGAGTTAAAATAAAATTAAACCTAATTTTAAATTAAATTAAATTAATGTACTTACAATCGATTCTAGTTAGTTTTGCGTCGAATTAAATATTTAGAATATTGAGTATTATTAAACGTTAAAGTAAAATATTAAATTTTCATGCTTTTTACGCGAGTTCCCCTTTTTCCTTGCACACATAATTGTCGAACTTCGTTCATGCATGTTCACGAAGAAAAAGAGGAGACTCAGATAAAAAGCTATTTTTAAGTGAGCATTTAATTTTAAATTAGTGATAAAAATAAATTGGAGCAACTAATTCCTGTAAGGTACAATTTTAACCAATAAACAGGACTGGAGGAATAATTAACGTTTATTCAGTTAAGTCGTTAAAAGAAATTGGCACGCTTCAATCGAACAGCATCGTTTATAATTTTACACTCTACAAGAATAAAAATTCGAGGCCTTTCTCTAAGGTACTAAAATGTTTTAGCAACTACAGAGAAAAATCTATACATCTACATCGATTATTGAAATCCATTTATCACAAGTTGCACAATATCAAATTATGAATATCTCCGGAAAGGACATCTACATAAAATCATTTCAACATATAGTACGGACTCTAAAAAACATGATCTTTTAAATTAATCTCAGTCATAAATTCAAACGATTAATCGCACTCAGTCACATGAACATACAATGAATCAAGAAGTAATGTTCAATGAAGGTATAATAAATAAAAGTCGTGAAAGTATCTAGACATTGTTTAGAAGGTGGAACTCAGTTTCCAAAATTCGTCGAACGAAAATGAGTATATATATGCATCTATCTCGGTGTGAATGGCTAAATTTTGGGACCCTCGCCGGCTCAAAAGTAACTGCATTCACAATGAGGTCTTGAAACAAGCATCGACGATCGTGTTCTATGATCAAAACCGTTTCGAATTAATTCCTGTCCAGAAACTCGTCTTTGAGCGGCTGGATGTTAACCGTCACAGAGTTGTCGAAGAAACCACTCGATATCAGCCGCACGGAGGTGATACTATACTCTACCACCTCATGGTAGTCTACAATAAAAAAATACCTTTTTATTTCTACGACTTTCATATGTTCACATTCTTAAAGGAGTGAAAAATGTAGGGTACAAAGTTCGAACGTAGTATGTTTGTTAACTTTGTTTCAATTTCTTTCATCCTTCAATCACGTGATCTTTACGAACAATTCGATCAACTAAGGCATCAATTTCTCGGATTACGCAGAGTGATCGAATTATCGAGTATTTCAAGCTGCTTAATTGAATATCAAGCAGCACTTTGATTTCCGGATCTGTCTCATTAAATATTCAAGCCGTTGAGCATCGACAAGTATTTATGAGATGGAATATCGACAAGCACTCAAGTTAATCAGCTTATGATAGCAGAAGTTTATTGATTGTGTTACCGGGTTTGGAGTCTATGCCGCAGATGGAGTCCACCACCTGTACTTTGGTCGTGTCTAGACCGTAGCCGCCGCCAATTATCGCTTGATCGTGCGGGTTCCTCTCGTCGCACTGGAAATAAAAGGTTTCCTGTTCAATGAAGTGTTAATTGGCAAGCGTGCACGTACTCTGGGTGCAGCTATATCGAGTTGCAAAACATTTTCACACATATGCGGGATACGGACTTTCCGCAGAGTCCCGGTCTCGGTTGTGCGACCGGATCCCAGTAAATTGGTAACCCCAACTCCGAGGGCGATTACTTGTACGGTTCCTGGATATAATGCGACGTAGGTGCAATTTATACGTCTTCCGTAATTGCGTAAAGTAAACGGCTCCGTTAGACTTGTCACCAACACATTGCACGCTGGAAACGGGAAAATAATATCCAACGATTAAACAGAATAATTATAGCATTCTGCTAAATGCAACATATTTTCTTATCAAATACTATCGCAGGAATGAAATCGATTCTAGCAAAAGTATTTAATAAAGGAAGTGGTTCTACCGAAGTGACTCCAAAGATCTTCCAGAGCTAATGCTTACGTCTAGGATTTTTCAGAAATCTCGCAAGGACAGTGAATCCTTTCCCGGGCTTCGGTATCCTATACCTGACGACCGCAACGTTCTGCGAACTTACGAAGCTTTTCTTCACACCGATATTTTTACCGCAGAATTCGCTGATCCTCTGCTTTAGGGGTAATCGATGATCCATTTCGCTGGGGAACACTTCGCCGTCCATCTCCCAGCCGTCCAGCGCCTACCGGTTGCAAAAATAAATTGTAGATCAACCCTCGCCCATCGGTGCGTGATAGTTTTTTATACTCTGATAAGAGTTTCGCTGACGTTTTTGTTTATTTTTCAATTTACCGAGATAAGTCCGTGATGCTCGCACGGAACGTCGAAGCTGAGGAAACTGATCTCCACTTTTTGGTCGGGTCCGGCAAGGAAGTGAACGCCGCAGACCTCCTCGCTATCGGTTTTCGATGTGTATATGAAAGCGCCGGGCTCCGTCGTAACGAAAATGCAATCTTGCAAGAAGAAATATTTACTCTTTATCCACAATTAGAGAGATTAACCCTTGTAAAGATAACCGGGCGAACGCTATTTTCTATGCATTTTCTTTTACAATTTTTCATTCAACAAATTTATTAAATGAATATTTGAAATTGCACATTTTAGTTGTCTAAAGAAGGCTTAACATATCTATTACCTGTGATAGGTTTGAAACGTGGGTACGAACTCAAAAAGCCATCTTTGTAGTCCATACGGTAAAAATCCTTTGCCAAATGGTCTGCCGTAAGCTGTAAAAAGAACGGTGTAATCCTTTTCGTTCTATCTTTTTATCCGTTGACGTATCGACAAGCGGATCCGTCCGTTCATTGAAACGTTCAATGAGACCGTTCGTTACGTTTAAAAATCTAGTAAATTATATTTACTCGTTTTAACAGCAAAAGTAATTGTAAAGTTATACTGAAGAAATATCGTTTAAAAATATAAACTGAATGAATATATAATATGCGGCTCAATTAATTTGAAAACCAAAGAAAGCTACACTGACTGTTCAAATTAATTAAACGTAAAATTTGATTAAAAATGTAGAAACCAAGATGTTCACATTTGTCTTTTGTGACTGATGATTAGTTGAGTATTTGTTCTATCGAAACGTTTTACATCTTATGGTGAAACATTGACTTCTAGCGACAATTTCATTCTGTCATGGAACCTATCTACAAATTTGATCAGTCGATCACCGACGATTTGAAGTGTTTGGGGAAAATCTATTTCCCCGTGGGGCAGTCAATGGAAATATCTTCATCGACAGACGGATATTACGGCGTGATTGTCATTGGTAATGTCAATTACTAGAGTCTATGTACAATTGCATGTTTTTATAGAGGGTGAAGAATAAAGACCCAGGTAAAAATATTTTTCGTCTTTAGTAAAATCCTGCCATAGAATTAATCTGGAAAAAATGTATATAATTAAGTACTTTGAATTATTGAATGAACAGGCAAAAGTAACCAAGTTAAAAGATAAATTGTTTAACTTTTCTCCATAAAGTTGTAACGACAGAAACAGTGACAATTTTTATCTTGAGATAATCTATTTAACTGTTATTATATTATTGTATATATATATATATTATACATATACAACAATATATACTCACTGGACCCGGTCTATGTATATCTTGGAACACCCCCTGTATTACAATAGAATTTTAAAATAAATTCTCTCAGAAGAATTTCATTTTACAGTCTCTTTTATCTCCTCCCACGCGGCATTCTACTTCAATTTTCATTTGCCTACAGGCACTATCCGTTTCGTTTTTATTTTTCCCTAAAAAGACGGAGCACACGTTAATCTCAGTGTCTTCTAATTACACTTATTCGTACCGTATGTGCGTCCGGGAAAAAAATAGAGAATCCTAATGTGCCCTTAAAAACGTTTCCCGCACGTTTCTTTTTCAATTTCAAAATGTCACAAACAGAAGGACCAAGCGTTTTTTTTTGACTTTTAAGTAAAGTCGTGCACTGAGGAGATGAATTCAATATGGCGCTTGTTAATTTCGACAGAGTTTTGCATACGTTTGTCAGTTGCCAGAGAATTTTCGTTTACTAGCGAAACTTCGAATACTAGCAACTCATGAATTTTTTGTAGACATTGACGCAACCTCTCAAAACTCGGCGAGGGTGTCGTTCGTCGATAACGCTGTCGTTGCATCTCTAATAATAATCGTTCACAAGTGGCCGCAAACTGGGCTGCTATGATGTCTATAATGAAAAACAGTGAGAATGACAGAGGATCAATAAAAGAAAGAACAAGCCAATGCTCAGAAGAAAACATTTCTAAAAGAATCCAATTGGAGATGAGTTGCTCTATATAAAATTAAATGTTACATAAGAATCGTATATTCTCATTCTATATTATTATATTTATAATATATATAATAATAATAATATAATATAATATATATAATAATAATATATATTATATTTATAATAATATAGAATGAGAATATATACAATTCTTATGTAATATTTAATTTTATATCGAGCAACTCATCTCCAATTGGATTCTTTTAGAAATGTTTTCTTCTGAACATTGGCTTGTTCTT